CAACTATTGTGCTTCTTCCTATAGAACATCATTAGAAGTGGCAATTAGTGCTTGTGTGCTTAAAAACAATTACTAGCTTTTTAGTAGCATTCCCACATGAATTTTCTCTGTGGGGATTAGATTTTCTCACTATACTGCAGTCCTGGTCTTTAGCTGGTTTTACCTTTGGTCGTACCTGTTCTTTCTATGACACAATTGCTTTCTAGGGTGTACCCTAGATGTGCTTGAAACATTGACTTTTATAGTAATATGTGCAATAATCGTATGTATGTTTATCAGTTACAGAATTTCCTTGAATGCTTGCGTATGCAAACTATCTGCCTTGGTTGGTGTCTAGAGCAGCAGATTGAATGGCATCTTTTATTACTAAAGTTTCATGAATCTTATTTTTCTTGTTTCCTGAGTGTTTTTCACATGTTTTTGTCTTTGTCTTGGAATTTGCTGCAAATGTTTCAATCATGAATAGCAGTTGTTTTCCCCTTCATGTTCTCATCTCTTAGGTAGTGTGTAAGTTTGTCATCAGATAAGTGCCAGATTTTTGTCTTCATTAGATATTTCTTTAGCTGCTGCTCTAAATCAGATGGGGTGATATCTTATAGTGGACAAGTTGCTAATTGCCATATGTCTTTCTTTAGCTTTGTATTTCTAAGTGCTTCTGGAACTGATTCATCTGAATGTTAGTGACTTCTTACCTTTTGTAGGTTCAGATCCTTCTGTTTGTTTATATTGATCATTTTTAGTTAATATATTTGCAAACTTTGAAGTTGTACATTCATTGAAAGATATTGCGCTGAGGTACTTGTTGTGATTGTAGCAGTTGGTTGTTAGAAAAATATGAAAACAGGGAAAAAGATACTAATAGTAGTAACGTCATTTAATCTTTTGTTTGCTTGGGACCAGTTGAAATACATATCACTTTTTTCTTTGGTTTTAGGTTCTGATAAGATATGTTTCTTCTGCAATTTTATGACATCAGATTGCTGGATGAATAACTCTGAATGCATTTAAAGGGGACAATGTTATTTCTAGGGTCCAGATCTCCATGTGTTGTTCTTTGGTCTTCTTGATTTGATGTATATGAAGTACTAGCAAAAATTATGTAATTAGAAAAGACTTTAAAGTGTTAGAAAATTTTTGGTAAATTAACATTTTTTGTTGACTGAACTGGATTGGACTCAGTTTTGTTGAATACTGAGTCAATTTATTGAAGTTATCATCTTGAGAGCTACAACTATATTGATCCAGGATTCTCTAGGCGTTCTAGAATTGCAACTTATATACTATTAATATAAATGCATATACATTTTGTAGACTTCTACAACTTGTATAATATGAGAAAAGCATGAAAAATCATCTTCATCTAAGCCTTGTTCCATCTATATGGGGTTAGCTACATGAATCCTGTTTCACCATTCCATTCTAGAAGACATGAGAATGAGTACTCAAATAGATTCTTTCTTGAGTTGCACGGCCACTGGATTCAATTTTAAGACTAGGCAGGCTAATGCTTAAACCATGTCTAGTTGTGTCATAAATCTGTTGAATTGACAACGACTGATTTCCCCCTTTGGGAAATAGTAGATTAACCAGTGTAGATATTTACAAAATTTATTGTATTTTTCTGCCTAATGTGCTTTCTGTTAGTGCTAGTGCCTGTTTAGCTGAGGAAAACTAAGGGTCAGTTTGGTTCGCAGAATAGAATCCAAATGGTTCATTCCAATTCCAACTGTTTGGTTGGGCAGAATCGGAACCACATTCCCACTCCTGGTGGAATGTCATTCCACCAATTGAGGGAATGGCCATTCCCTTCCCCTCCCTTGGGATGAATATCTATTCCAGCTGATTACAAGCATGACAATGCAGGTTTGCAACTGAGGGTGGCCATTTTGTGCAAAACAATGCCAAAATGTTGGATACCTGTCCAGTTAATAGGGCTGATACTTTGTCAGGCTTGCAGTTTTGCCAAATTTTGAATTGGTCCAGCCAAGGGCCTCAGCCTGATTCTGTGTAAATCCTTAAAGTTGGGTACCTGACTTGCAGCCCCCCAGTACCAGTCCACCCTCCTAATATCCTTGATAGCAGGATCAGACACTTGGGCAGGCTTGCAGTGAGCATGTGCCAAATTTTGAATGGATCCAGCCTAAGGGCCTGAGCCTGATGCTGTGTAAACTCTTAAACTTGTGTACCCATTATGCACCCTGACCTGTACCAGTTCACACTCCTAAGATCTTGGATAGGAAGGTCCGACTCCTTTTATGCTTTGTACTCAAATGAAGCAAGAAAAGGGGAAGAAAATTGTTATGCAGGAGAGAAGAATGGAAGAAGAGAGAAAAGAGAGAGGAGAGAATTGAGAGCAAAAGATACTGCTGGCGGTGCAGCTTTTTTAATATATAGACTAGGGCGACAACAACTAAAATAAAAAAGAGTAAAAGTACAATAGTACCTATACATGGGAAAAATAATAGCTGTTAACACTCCCCCTCAAGTTGGGACATAGATGTCAATCATGCCCAATTTGTCACATAAATCATGATGTCGTGAGTGATGTAGTCCTTTTGTAAAGATGTCTGCAAGTTGATCCTCAGAGTTGACATAGGGAGTACACACTTCCCCTACTATAACCTTCTCTCTGATAAAATGCTTGTCGACTTCGATGTGTTTAGTTCTATCATGTAGCATAGGGTTAGCAGCAATGTTTATGGTTGCTTTGTTATCACAAAATAGGGTCATAGGTCTATCCACTGGAAAATCCAATTCACTCAACAGATTCTTTATCCACATAATTTCAGCCACTCCATGAGCCATTACTCGATATTTAGCTTCAGCACTGGATCTAGCTACCACACTTTGCTTTTTGCTTCTCCAGGTAACTAGATTTCTTCCTATGAAGGTACAGTAGCCACTAGTTGACTTTCTGTCATTTAGGGATCCTGCCCAATCTGCATCAGTATACACTTCAACTTTCAAATGTCCGTGCCTTTGAAACAACAAGCCAACACCTAGAAACCTTATAAGGTATCCGAGGATTCTTTCT